TGTCTTGTTGAATATTTTTAGAATGTCATGATTACTTGAGAACACATAATTATTTAGGATTAGGATATTCTTGATAGTGAACAACATGAATTGTGATCAAGTTGGTATTTGTTTTATATTCCATGATTTTGTTGGTTGAAATGTGCTTAGCTCAATGCATGAAAACAATTTGGTGAGATTTGAGCCTTTACGAGCATATCATTTTGCTCTCATTCTTTTGGATTGAGTGTGTTGAATTTGACATTGGTATTCTAGAACCTGCATTTTAAATACTGTCGAGATTACACATGAACATGATGCTTAAAAATGATTTAGGCAATTTAGGATTAACCATTCTGTTTTCCCCACTAAAATTGCCAACCCATTCATTCTCCCCTAGTTAACCACTTTTGAGCCTATTCCCATTTCTTTTTTTTCACCACATTTATAAACCCAAGCCTTTTTATTTTATCCCTCTTTTCTACCCTTTTTTAGAGCAAGTAAACAGTTAAACCGGTGTATGCTCCATAAAAGAAGAAAAAAAATAGCAGTTTGAAAAAAAGGTTGTTCGAAAAAATAATAATAATAAAAAAAAGGAAAGACGTGAGAAAAAATGGAAAACAAAACAACAACAAAGAGAAAAAAATCAAATACATTTTGAAAAGAAAGTTGTTGTTTGATAGTTTGTCTTTTTATCTTGTGCTTAAAGTTTTGATGGAGTTGAAGTTGTTATTTCTTAGTTATTTGCCTTGAATTTTTAGCCATGTATTTAGCCTTTTCCTCACCTTTACCTAAGCCCCGTTACAAGCAATAATAGACCCTTTGATTTATGCATCTTGTTCTGATTAATAGTGGAGATTTGATTTACTTGCAGGCCTATGGTAATATCGTGTCGGTTCTGACATTGAGCGTTTCTATACCCCAAACACATTGAGTAATTTGAGTGAATCCCGACAAGGTGTTGAGTTATAAGCATTAAAATTGATGAATGATTGGATGTTACAATTGCATTTAACTTGTTCCAATTGGTGATGTTCAATTGATTGATGTCTTGACTTGAATAATTCTTGTGGACTCTACCTTGCTTCCTTGAATATGAAACTAATGAAATTTTTGACTGATTTGATTATATCATACTTGAGGACAAGCATGAGATAAGTGAGGGGGAATTTGATGAGTGTTCAGAATCGGTAGTATTTTCTCGTTAATTTTTCGATCTTATGGATTTATTGTTGTGGATTTGATTGTGTTATGCTTATTTTCATGCAAGGTCTTACTTTCCAGAATTAGTGGTAAAACGGATGCATTCTATAATTTTTTTATTATTTGGTAACGGCTGGAGACATGGGCACAACTCTAGGCATGACATGGTCTGACGTGGCAGTTTCTAGAAGGTCCAGTTAACGGCAGTTTCTAGAAGACCTAGTCAGCGCGCCTTCTGAAAGATGGACGAGCAGAGTTGCATTAGGAGACTTATTTTAAAGTTTGAATTTAGATAAATATTTATCTTTAGGATTATTTTATTTTAATTTCTTTGTTTATCTCTTGTTTTTAGAGGCTATAAATACCCTCTTGGGGTAAGCCTAAGAAATACAACTCAGATTACAATTTTCTTTTCCTTTATAGTTTTTATAAAAATTCTCTCTTTTATTTTTTTTTCAAGTTTTCGATTTTTCTCTTTATTTTAAAGCTTTGTTTTTAAATATGCTAAGCATGACAGTCATGCTTAGCTAATTTTCTCATAACCCGAGAGCTGAAGCAATGACTCAATTCCAACGGGAGAATTGAAATACACCCTTAATAACTTCGGAATATCTCTCTCAATCTCTGCGTTTATTTTTCAAAATCAAAACAGTTTTCAAAATCAAAGATTGACTTTAGTTAAGAGGTTGTTGCGATTAAATATGTGGGAGGAAGGATCAGCTTATTGAAAGCACATTCGACTTCCTGGGAACACACTTGGCGATATAGCCTTGCCAAGAGGGAATTGAGATCATAATTAATGGTTATTGGAACAACAATCCGAGTCGGTCGTCACGAACTTAAACAGTAATTGATCTACGACAATTTAAGTTTATCAGATCAGTTTTTAAAGCCGGAATCAAAGATTGCCTTGGGTATTCGGTATACAAAATAGAGTCACGAGGATTACCCTTGTAGACAAAGTAACCGACGTGAAACCCGAATGGAAAATCTAATTCGATGATCTGAAGGAAATTGAGTCAAAGCGAGGCTTGAGGTTGCTTTTACCGCATTCATTTTCAACGTTACAATCTTTATTTTCTTTATTCTTTCTTTAAAGTACTTTTTACTATTTAATATCTTTTTACCAAACCCCCCCTATTTTATTACTTATCTCCTAGTTTAAACCATTCAAACATAAATTTAGAATTTTCTAAGTCCCTGAGGATCGACCCTTACTTCTCTTTACTATGTATTTCCTTGATTTATTAATTGAGAAGAAGGAATTTATTTTGACACCAAAACGACAATTGTCAGTGACCGAATTGACCGCTCACATAACACTTGATGGATTTTCCTTCAGAATTGTTGTTTCTTGATTTTTTGAAGTTAGTTCCTTTTTGAGGTTTTGTCTTATTGTTTTGATTTCCTATTTTATTGATTTTTTTAATTTAGACTCTAAGGCAGCACCATATTCAACCAAGTTAGCTTTAAAGGACAATTGACCAAAAGAGTTAGCAACCTTATCTTTCAAACGGTTAGCTTCCTCTATCTTCATGTGGCTTGTCATCTTCTCGAGTGAAATGTCCATCTTCTTGTATTTGAGAGAGTTATTGTGGTCAAACCAACACTTGTGCAGCTTCTCGATCAGGACATTGGCTCGCAACACTTCACACATCTACACAATAAGGATGTTAGAGACTAGATTTTTGTAATCATGGACTTGATCTCTAATCAACTTGTCATCAGTCATTTGAAATCTCAGTCACTCACTAACGACATATTTCTTGTTGCCTGCATCATTAGAGCAATACTTCTTTTCAAGTGTGTCCCATATTGTCTTAGCACTTCTTTCCTTAAGAAACATGTCAAAAAGCTTGTTTGACATGTGACTAAAGAGATGGCCACAGACCAAATTGTTTACTTTATCAAATATTTCAACTGCTATGACGACGAAGACAGAGGCAACATCAGGCATAACTTTATCACCGATTACAGTGATGTATGTTGTAACAAAAATGGTCGTCGGGGTGGTGGGTGATGGTTTCAGCATCACATAGTCTAAGTCAAACTGCTTGAAGAAAATAAGATACGCTAGGACCACCTACAGTAAGTGGACCTATCTAGTGCATCAAGCTTGGACAAATCATGAATAAAGCTTGCTAAATGGTGTCAACATTTTTTTCCTGTAAATGAATTTATTTCTAAATTGTTGGGAATAACAGCTCTCTTTTCAGCCTATAAATCTCAGAGAAAATATTCTTTCACAATCTTTATACTAAGAACGACCCTCGACCTGGACCACGAATTTCTTACGAACGACACGCAAGTTGGGCCCTTGTTCTCTATCACTCAACAAGGGAAAGAAGAATGAACATTATAAATACTCTTGCACGTGGTATTTCCCTCTCCATGTTGGATAGTGTCTAAAGCATTACCAACAAAATTTTGGTAACATTTTAGGTGCAACCCATTTTATTAATAAAATATTAACATTTCATATTACAACTTACTTTCTTAGTGAATCATGACATTCTTGGGTGCAATTGTATTTGTTGTAGATATTTATAACATTTTCAACTTTGAACTTATTTTGTTTTCGAGAGAAAATCTAAGGTTTTATCAGCTTAAACTCTGGTAACATTGTATACGCAACCCATTTTATTAATAAAAATTTTTAATGTTCCAGAACGCAACCTACTTTCTTAGTGAATCATGACATTCTTAGCTGCAATTGTATTTATTGTATATATTCATAACATTTTCAGTTTTTTATTTTATTTTGTTATTGTGGGAAAATCTAAGGCTCCACCAGCTCAACTCATTTTATTAATAAAAATATTAACATTCCAGATCATAACATACTTTCTTAGTGAATCATGACATTCTTGAGTGTAACCATATTTATTATAGATATTCATTACATTTTAAGCTTTTTAACTTATTTTGTTATTGTGTAAAAATCATATCTCATCTGCTTAAATTCTATTAATATTTTAAACACAATCTAAAATTTTAATAATACTCATAACATGTATTATTTATAACTTATTTTCGTACCGTTATAATGTTTTATGTACAAATTATTATGTTACTATATTTTAAACACAATCTAAAATTTTAATAATACTCATAACATGTATTATTTATAACTTATTTTCTTACCGTTATAATATTTTATGTACAAATTATTATGTTACTATATTTGATAACTTTTTTATTTTTAAATTATAATATTGTGTGTTTCACTTTTAACTTATAACATTTTTCATCGATTACATCATTTAGTAATATTATTTTAATCACCTAACAAGGGAGCTCCCCTAACACGAAAAGTTCTATAATGCGATACCTTTAATATAAGATTAAAATAAGACGTTATCAGATTTGTTATTATTTAAATAATAAAATCAATAAAAATTATCTAAAATATTATTATTTTTATCAAAAATATCAATATTTTTTAACATTTCAGATAAAATATCTAATAATTATAAAACCGATAGAATAATAATAAAATCAATAAAATATCCAATAATAATAAAATCATAACATTTTTTTAACCATATTAAGGTTGTGGCACGTTATATTCCCCCAACGCTTAATATTCAAAGACATATAAAAGACGTCCTTTCCTCTTTGAATTCCTTGTTAATGTTCAAAGATAAATAAAAGACGTCTTTTCCTCTTTGAATTCCTTGATAATGTCAGACAAAAATGGCTGCCGACTTGTTTCCATTCTCAGATTTGCTTCATTTAACTAGTGATCCCTGCACGTCACCTTCGTCACTTTCATTTTCTTACATTTCAAAACCCCTATATAAGCAAATATGCCTTGTACTTTCTCTAAACTCTAAAACCCAACTCTCAAAGCATCTTGTTTTGAGAATTCTAGTTGGAAAAGTTTAGGTTTTTTTGTTGAATCGAACCCAGTTTAGTTTATATTCAATGGCGTCCTCGGGACCAAAAGAATCAGCTGCCAATAACCCTGGCCTCCAAACTCCCCCTGAAATCGCCAAAGGCTACTTCATGCAGCAAACTGTTAGTTTTTTTTTTGGTGTTTATAATATGTAAATATTATGTTTTTCAATGAATATGTGTAATTATTTTCTTTTCGTTCTCCTTTGGGTTGCAGTGTTTTCGAATTAAGGATCCAAAAATCAGTCTTGATTTTTACTCTCGCATATTGGGCATGTCGTAAGTTTAATTTCAGATCTCTTTTTTATTACCTTTTAAAAAAATAATTTGATATTAATAGAAGCAATGAAATCATCATCTCCAGGTTGCTTAAGAGAATTGATGTTCCAGACTTGAAGTTTACCTTGTACTTCATGGGCTATGAGGTATAATGCATATAATTATACTGCAAGAAATTATCCTGCTCGAGGTGTCACCATTTCGGAAATAATAATGATGTTTGATTCTAAATGCTTATTTACCTCGGATGTAGGATGTTTCAACAGCTCCAAGCGACCCGATTGATAGAACAGCTTGGACCTTTACGAAACCGGCTACCATAGAACTAAACCAGTAAGAATACATTATTTCTTGGGGGGGGGGGGTTGGAGGAAAAATCAATCCGCCTTTTGTTTTGACAAAATCATCATTCTTCTGACTTGTACCATGTTTAACAGTTTTAATGTTTCCTACAGCAAATGGGGTACCGAAAGTGACACCGAGTTCAAAGGATACCACACTGGGAATTCAGAACCTTTAGGCTTTGGTATGAACAGCTTTTGTATCTTTTATAATGTTCATTTCTTCTAGTGTCTTATGATCTGTGCTTCAAAGAAGAGTAGTTTAAAAGTATGATTATTTCTTTACGATAAAGTCTCCGGCTTTATAAACAACTATGCTGTAATTGATCAAACAGATGCTGCTTCTATGTTCAAGTCGATAGAAGACCGGCTTTTTTTTTCCTTCTTCTTTTCTAAATATGCGAATTTTGTATTTGAGGAATTTTTGGGATATTTTAGGTAGTAATCTGTCCTTTTTCCCTTTTCAGGGCATCTTGGCATCAGTGTGGATGATACATTCAAGGCATGTGAGAAGTTTGCAAGGCATGGAGTAGAGTTTGTCAAAACACCAGAGGATGGTAATACATCACTGTGGATGATACTAATAGTGAAAGTTATGTCTGAAATATTTGCTTTCTGATTTCTTTGAAAATGCTTTTTCATGCCTTGATTTACCAATCTGATTTGCAGGGTATGCATTAATCAAAGATCCCGATGGTTATTGGATCGAAATCTTTGATTTGGTTAATATCATAAACGTGGTTAAGGGTTTTGCCTGAGTTAGCGCTTCACAAAGTTCAGGTAGCTTTTGGAGTATTTATCAGAGACTTCTTCTATCGTGACGTATCTTTGATCATTGGAAATGTATCTGATACATAGGTGTTGATGCCAGGAAACGAGGATGGCATATGTTACAGGTTTCATTCATTTCGGTTCAACGGTGTGTAGTCCTATACATCATCTTCTGCTTTCCGGAACTTGTCGATGGAAGAACTCGGTGAAATATTATATGTATATTTTATTCAAGTATATGTATTCTGCAAGTCTGATATGTATATACCAGACAGGATAAAGTGAAAATAAATAGTTTTGTAGGAGAAACTGAACCTTGAAATTTAATAAAATCAGCTTAAATTTCCTAAAATTGCAGGTCTGTGTATCATGTATGTGCTTACCAAGTCAAGCATGAAGTGGAAAAATAGAATTATGAAAGTACTAAAACTTTAAACCATTTATTAAATATTATCCCTTTTCTTTATTAACAAGAAGTTTGGAATGGCGTAAAGCAAAAGTCTTTTCTTTATCATTGATCACACTCAAAACTCACAATATTTCAAGCTCACAACTTTGGAATACCTTAATTGTAATAACTGCTGTATAATCAATTTAGACCTACTAATAATATTATACAAATATGAAGACTAAATTATACCAAATAAGGGGAATTAAATCTCGAATTTCTGCACAATAGAGGGACTAAAATCAAAATTAGACCACTTAAGAACAATAAAATTATTAAGGTGGAATTTGCCTTGAACTACTTTAAATTTTGTTTCTTTGTAAACTCAGATCTGAGAAAGTTTGGTCAATCACTGTAAGCTCATTTCTTTGTTATGGTATGCAACAGTCGAGAACAATGAAACAAATCTTAAAATTTCATTTAATTTAATGCCCCATATTGATTAAATAAAAAAACTTGTTAGATCACTATATAGGAGCAATTTTCTCAGCTGTTTCAGATGAGGCTATTTCCCCATGCATCCATTTCTGCAACATTTGTAATGAAGCTTTTGGTTGATCCATTGGAACCATGTGACCTGCCTCATGGACCTGCAATTTGTCATCATCATGGGCACAATTAAGTACCATTAGAGAAAGCGCACGGATGAATGATAATTGCAGATTATAAAGATTGCATTTTTCAGAGTTCAGACCTTGAGGAAAGTGAGAGGACCATGGCTCTTCAGTTTCCCTGCTTCGACACCATCAACGATGAAGGGGACGGAAAGCAATGCACAGAAATCTTTCTGCCCGGACCATGTCATCGCATGAACCCACTTCGAATTCCCTAACCGTCGGAAAAACACAAGTTTAGAAAGAGCAAGGCACTAAAAAAGAAGAAGAAGAAGTGTCTCACCAAGCCAGTTACATATAAAATCATACTCCCCAGCATATGTAAGGACCTTGATGCCATTTTCAAGAAGAGAAGGAATGCCGACTTCGAAATTTCTCATCCAGTCCATAATCATAGCTTCGTACACTACGCTGCTGCAAGACACGAAATCTGTCTCCAACCCTAAGTGCTTCCCTAACTGATTTCAGGTTCAGGAAAGTCTCCACGTCTGAGAAATCGTAGCACAAGTCGTCGTCGCACTGCTTTCTAATGTCGTAGTACTGAACAATTAATAACAAAGAATTGAAATTTGTAAGAATCTTAAACCATTTCTGCAATATATATAATAACAAAAGATAAAAGTTTATGCCGTCTTACATTTACATTACCAGCAACTCTCATGATCAGATTGAATACATTGTTGCATATTTCATAAGAATCAACACAAGCATCTCCACCATCAGTACCTGGAACGGTATTTGAAAATGGGTATCAATTTGCAAAGGAAAAAATATAGAGATATTGACATTAGACATTTACAGCTAAGAGGGAATACCACAGCTTTTAATTGCCTCCATGCATGATGGAACCGACTTCTTGATATTAACATAATCAGATTGTGAAATTAAACTGGAGTTCAAAGCATAATCTGGGTATGCTTGATATTTGAATTTCAGGGTTCGTTAATCCGTTGCCGATGGCAAAACCCTGTTTCATCCATTCAAGTTTGAACTAAATGAAAAAAGTCCATTTCAGGATTCTTAATTTTCATTCCTAATTCTCATTTTTTCCATTACATTCTATATATTGCTCAGTTTGCTCAATTATTTAGTTATAGCTGTAAGATTCTTTCTAACAAAATAAATGTTCCTGTCCAGCTCAACTATGGCCTGATTTCATCATTGTTCTAACTTCCTTCAGCTCAGATGTCCTCCTTAGCCCAGTTATCCTCCTTAGTCCAATTGCTCACGCTAGCACCAGATAAAGAGTCAGGTAATTTCGAATTCCCCAATTCATTTCTCAATTCCCCCATTCTCTCATCACCAATCCCTAATTCCTCACCCCTAATCCCTAATTCCCCTTCCAGTACCATGACAATACCTCCTCCTGTAGTCGATGCTTGTCCCCAAGGATCGAAGTCAGGAAATTGTGACTTCAACACTGTAAACTCTTCCCAGGTAGCACTTTCTGGTCCCAAATTCGCCCATTGGATCAACAATTGAGTTACTGCCTTTTTGTCTTTCTTCACCATTCACTTGTCTAATACCATAGATGGATAAACACGAAGTTGTCCATCCGCATTGACTTCTGGTGGATCTCGAGAGGTAACTGTCCTGTTTCCAATCTTCTTCTTTAGCAAACTAATATGAAAAACTGGGTGTATATTTGAACTGTCAGGCAATTGCAGTTTATAAGCCAGCGACCCAATGCTTTCGATGACTTTGTAGGGTCCATAGTACCTTGCAGACAGCTTCAAATTTTTTCTGAGGGCCACCGAGGTTTGTCTATAAGGTTTTAATTTGAGGTAAACTTCATCACTAACTTGAAGCTCTCTATCACTTCTCTTTTTATCAGCATAATGTTTCATGCGTTGCTGTGCCCTATCTAGCTAGTCTTGTAGAACAGTATTCATGTTGTCCCTCTCTTGTAATAATTGCTGCACATCTACTACTTTAGAGTCTGTTAGCCATGTCATAGTAGGGGGAATATATCCATACAAAGCTGTGAATGGAGTTGTTCCCAAAGCAGTATGGAAACTTGTATTATAGCACCATTCAGCTTGTGATAACCACTTACTCCAATTAGTAGGCTTCATAAAACACATTCCACGTAAATATTGTTCTAGGCACTGATTTAGTCTCTCTGTTTGACCATCAGTTTCTGGATGGTAAGTTGTAGTGAATAGGGCAGTAGTTCCTAGGAGCTTCATTAATTCTGTCCAGAAAAGGCTAGTAAAAATTTTGTCTCTATCAGATACAGCTATCTTTGGTTGCCCATGTAGTTTATAAATCTAATCCAATTAGATTTTAGCTACATCTGCTGCAGTGAAGGGATGCACCAAGGGTAGAAAATGTGCATACTTGGTAAACTTGTCAATAATATCCAGGATGCAATTATACCTATTAGAAGTAGGGAGACCTTCAATAAAGTCCATTGTAACAAATTCCCTAGCCTGTTGAGGAATTGAAAGAGGTTGTAATAGTCCTGGTTTTAACACATGTTCATCCTTTATTCTCTGACAGATATCACACTGCTACACATAGCTTTTAACCATGTTTTTCAACCCTTTCCAATAGAAATAAGATTTCACCCTGTGGTAGGTAGCTTGTATACCTGAATGGCCATCTTGTGGTGAATCATGTAGAGCTTGTAGAATCTGTTGTCTTAAAGAACCAGTTTCCCCAATATAAACCTTCCCTTTATATCTTAAGATACTTCTGGAATAAGACCAGTCTGCTGCCTCTTGCCTGGAAATAGCTAACTTAGTAACCATTTCAGAAACTAGGGAATCACCTTGATAACTTTGTTCAACCTCTTGAACCCAAGTAGGAATGACAATAGTAACAGTCATTTGTTGTAATTCTACTTCCTCCTCACCTCTTCTGGATAATGCATCTGCTGCCAAATTATGTCTGCCCTTCCTGTACTGAATAACATAATCCAGTCCCAATAATTTTGTAAGCCCCTTTTTCTGTATTGAAGTAGTGAGCTTCTGTTCTAGCAAATTCTTAAGAGCTTCATGTTCTGTTTTAATAATAAATGGCCCTTCTTCTAGGTAATGTCTCCATTTAGAGATAGCCATAAGTATGGCTACGTATTCTTTTTCATCAATGGATAGATCTAATTGCTTAGGTCCCAATGCTCTGCTTAAATAAGCCACTAGTCTGTATTATTGAGACAAAACTGCTCTGAATCCCTTAGAACTTGCATCTGTCTCCAAACGAAAACTTTTATTGAAATCAGGTAATGCTAGGACATGAGTATGACACATTGCACCTTTTAAAATTTCAAAAGAAGATTTATTTTCCTCTGTCCATTGAAACTAGTCCTTCTTTAACATAGTAGTTAAAGGCTTAACAATCTCTCCATATCCTTTTATGAATCTCCTGTAATACCCTGTCAGCCCAAGGAAACCCCTTAAGGATTTAAGAGTTTTTGGCAGCTTCCATTGTTGCATTGCCTGTATCTTTGCTGGATCAGTAGCCACACCCTGCTTAGATATAATATAGCCCAAATATTCCACCTCCTGTTGACCAAAGAAGCATTTTGTTCTTTTAGCAAACAACTGATTCTGCTTAAGGACTTCCAAAACAGTCCTAAGATGCATGGTATGTTTCTTTAGATCAGGACTGTAAATGAGTATGTCATCAAAGAAAACTAATACAAATTTTCTTAGGTAAGGACCAAACAACTTGTTCATTAATGCCTGAAAAGTGGCTGGGGTATTTGTTAATCCAAAAGGCATAACCTTGAACTCAAAGTGACCATGATGAGTCCTAAAGGCTGTTTTAGGAATGTCTTCAGTAGTGATTCTAATCTGCCAATACCCTGATCTTAAATCCAACTTAGAAAAATAGGCCGCTCCAGTCAACTCATCCAACAAATCTTCCACTACAGAAATTGGAAATTTGTTTTTTATAGTTAAGGCATTTAATTGCCTATAATCAATACACATTCTCCAACTTCCATCCTTTTTCTTGACCAATAAATAAGGAGAAGCAAATGGGCTTTTACTGGTCTGTATTATGGAAGAGGACAACATTTCCTTAATTTGTTTGTCCACTTCTGACTTCTGATGATAGGGCATCCTGTAGGGTCTAATGGTCACTTCTTTTGTACCCTCTTTTAGTGTAATAGAATGATCATGTTCTCTTGGAGGTGGCATCCCTTTTGGTTCCTCAAAAACATCTCAAATACTCCTCTAATAAACTTTATAATTCCACAGGTACCATGTTAGTTCTAACTTCCCCACTTAGCATAAAAATTTCCCCTGTTATATCACTGTTCTTCCCCATCAATTTCTGCAATTTACTTTCTGATATCACTTTGACAGT